TAAATAATGTACATAATACCTCATCTCAGAAATATAGACAGATTCTGAATAATAAAAGGTATAATATCAAACATTCCCCGTGAAATGTGTGTTTTGTGATGTCAACACTCATTGCCACTTTTGTAATGCCAACGAATACTCGTTGTCACTTTCGTAATGCTCGTTGTAGTAGAGACTTTGTAACCGCAGATACAACTATAGTAACGCCGTTGAACAATACTAGTGTCAAACGCCTTCGAATAACATTCGCACTAATAATTCTTGCTCGATAATACTCGGTCGAAAAGTAAACACCGAATAGAGTAATAGTATAGTGAATAGAGTAGAGAATAGCGGTCCGAATAGTAATAGAGGATAGACTAGAAATGGCGATCATTTAAAATTCCCGCGACTTACTACTTATGCTTTTCCTCTTTGGTCACGTGATCCAATTCAATAATGGTGTCGCCTGCGTTTGCTCACTGGCGATCTATGTTCAAATTCAAGTGTCGGCAGTGACACTTTATTCGTATATAACAGTGTGTCAAGGTACTAAATTGTGCTGTTGATCGCTGGTTTTTGTGCATCAATCGTGATGGCGGACAGTTAGAGACTGTTCAGTAAAATCTGAATTAGTGATTTTTCTCATACTAGTGTCAACATAATTTTGACTCACCCTGTATTTTTGCTGGTTCAAGGAAATATGTTGATTCACCAATTAATCACAGAAAATATAATCAGAAAGCGATTTCAACAATTTACAAAATCATGTCTTAACAACGTTTGAAAATACTTTACAAAAAGTGAATTTCAGAGAAACAACATTTTTGACAATTTATTGTGATTTTTGTGACTTGTACAATGTATGTAATTAATTAATATGTCATGTACAATGCATTGTGATTAATATGACATGTACAATTAATATGACATGTACAATTTGTTTCATAGAAGATTAAGAAAATACTTATGTAAAATTTATGTGATAAATTCTTTAATAAGTGTCATTTTTCATTAATTCCGTAGTGAAAAACTTTACATATTCAATGTCTTCTATTTTTTTACAAAGGACAGAAAAATTCGACATACTTTTTAAAAAAAAATTACCTTTTTGTTCTGTTAAAGAAAACGGAAATTATTATTCATGAAAATTAATTTTATACTTAATATGGTCATTGTTGAAAAAAAATTGCGTAGATAAAAATAAAAAAATTTAATGAACTTTTTGATAAAATTCTTAATGACACGTGTGAATTTCGCACCGAAAAAGTTTGTTTAAAAATAAAATATGCAAGCTCAAATAGAATAAATAATTATTATATATACATATTCCTCGATGTTTGGGACAATTCTAAGTTTCATGCACGCAGCAATCTTCATGCACTGACTGAAAACTGGCCATTGCCAAATTTTACTTATACTGTTAAGACAGAGGAGCAATCCATTCACAAAACAATTAATGTTAATAGTATATATGCAATATGCATATATATATTTCTTCGTTTATTTACTGTTTCGTTGAAAAAGGACACAGGCGTGTCCGAAAGTTTACTGTTTTTTACAATATGTGTAATTTTACGTTTCTTTTATTTTTTGTTAAAAGGCTAATATATAATAAATATCATCAGCCTCCTTATTATAGTGTTAACATTTTGTTGTTTTTTTAACTTTCTCAAATTTCATTAAACGACCTATTAAATCTCTCTCTCTCTCTCTCATATATATATATATATATATATATATATATATATATATATATATATATATATATATATATTCTGTTTATAAGTTATTTTTATAGATACAGTTTAAGAAACTGCTCTGTTTTTAATTAAACAGTATGGATTATACTAACAATGTTTAATTATTAATTAATATTATTATTTATTAACATTAGATAGTTTGCTAACCAGGCGATTCTCTGTAGCTGAATGGTACAGCATGTCAGGTCAAATGACGGTTTCCGTAAGGGGAGCCAGGTTCGATTCCGGTCGGATAACGTATATATTCTACAAAATTTATCGAACATTCAGCCCAGTAAATGTAATTAATATTGTTTAATTAAAAAGAGGGCATTTGCGTAAATAAATTGTATCTATGAAAATAACATATAAACTGAAAATATATTAAATAACTGTCGGAGTTAATCCAGTTCATTATATATATATATATATATATATTATTTATTTATTAAAAAAAAGATTCCAGAAAACGAAAAAAAGTTCTAATTCAATTTGTTTCAATAATAATTGAAGTTTTAATTCTTGTTTTGAAGTTTGAGAACTCTTATGTAGCGTTGGAATCATATTTTTAAATAAATAATTATATTTATGCTCTACTTTTGTATCTAGAACTATTTTAAAAAAAAATAATAAAAAAAACTAAAGAACTTTGGATTATTTAGCTAACGAGTTCTTTCCTATTTTCTATATATTTTTACACACACACACACACACATATATATATATATATATATATATATATATATGTAAAGTATTTATATTGTAATTTAATATAATAA